AATAAGCACTGCAAAATTTGTCCACTCCCTGTGCCCAGTGTTGGTACCTGAAAGGATCTCTTCTGCCACAGACAGAACACACAGAACCTTCTTTTTTATGGATTGAAATTCTATGGCTGAATTTTTGATGTCTGAGTGTGAAGTCTGACAGAAGGTTTTCCTGCCCCTGAGGAATTCATAATGCTGTTCTCCTAGGAGGAATCTCTGCTATCTAGTAAGGGTCAACTTCTCTAACTGCCAGATTTCAGAAGACTTGTAGGAAATTAATTTAAACAGAACTTTTCAGTAGATTCAAGATGAGAGAGAAGTGAAAGCCAACATATTCCTGTAGGAAAATGAACTAATAATCCCTTAGTTTGTTTATGTGTTGCTGAACTCTGCTACCAGCAAAATGCTCCTAATAGGAAACATATCCCATAAGGGAGAGAATATTTAAAAGAAGGCAAAATCAGAGGTATTTTGCTCTCTTGTCTGATTTTGTTCAGTAGGATAAAGGCAGTGGCAGTGAGGCATGAGCCCTTGCATTTTATCATATAGGTTCCCACTCAGCTTTTGAGCACTGGAAATTAATGTTTTACAACAATACTCTAGTAGCAGGTGACAGCCACCCCAAGGAGAGGATTCTGTGTTTCTGTAATAAACTCTGGTTGATGCTTGGACAGCATAAAATCACAAATGATACTGGCTGGTTTCTTTTACTGTGGGTGATCAAGTGATACAAGGATATCTCTGACCCTCAGCAAGTGAGAGCTCCTGGGGAACACACAGCTCTGAAAACACAAATCTGATTTCCCCATAATTCAGTTTCTCATTTCTCTCACTTTGCTTCATACTTGGCAGCTGGAACCTGAACTGGAGCATGTCTTGATAGGACATTTGTGGTTGGGTTCTTTTTCCCCCTGGACTGAGATTGATGAGAGAGAGGCAGATGAGAGAGACCCAAGTTTGGACTTGGTTGTTTATTCTTCTTTTATCTATATTACATGTATGTAAGGTACAAGGAGCTGTGTGCACTAAGATAGAAAAGTGCAAAATGACTAACAAAGAACTTCTTCAAGGTCTTTTATATGTCTATTTACCCAATTAACAGGTGCTAACTAAATTATTTTTCTTAGTGACCCAGTGACCCAACACCTGTGTGCTGCACTGCAGCATTCTCTATCCAATCACTTACTACCACCCAAAAACCTCTAGAAGAAGAACATGAGGAAGAAAGAAGGACAAGAGACAACTCCCTAAATCCTCCATCTTATCTTCTGTTCTCTAAACCACTTTAAACTCCAAACTTTAACTTTCTCACCCAGTGACTTAAGAAAACTTTCTAATTTACACACTTGCACTTCTAATTTTTGTATTTAACCTTAAGAATTGTTTTCAGGATGTTATATGAAATTCAGTGTTTTCTTGGATGTCAGAGCCAGGTATCAGAGATAAGGGCACACTCTCTGTGCCTCTGACTCCCAACAGAGCAAACTCCAGTTCTGCTTTGGAGAGTGTTTGTGGCACTTGTGGGGCACAGCAGTGCTGGGGTTGGGGCATTTAAATTGACAGAGGTGTTCTGCAGAGCTGGGCTGGGGACAAACCAAGGGACAGAAACTGGCAGGCAAATGTGTCTGTGTTTTAATAATAACAACTCAAAGCCAATCACTGGGAAAATCCTGTAATTTAAAATACTAATCTTCCTGTTACAAAATCAAAGAAAATTACTGCTCTAAACTGGTGAAAAGGTCTCCTGCTTTAGAGAGATAAGATTCTCTTGGTATCCAGTAGGGCATGACATTTTTCCCATGTTTGATTATATCACATATATTAAATATGACCTCAATGTTTAAGGTTACTCAAGCTGCAAGAGTTCAAAAAGATTCTGGGTGAGAATTTTTCCATTTATTTTGTTAAGCCTCTGTAATAATTGTAAATAGTCATTCTTTTAAATAACAAATAGTAAGAGGTCAAAAATGTGTATGTATATATATGATTCTGCTTTTCATTACCAAGAAAAATTCACAGCAGAAAAAATGTAGCTATGGTAGAAAACCAGGTATTTAAGAGGAATCATTGCTGTATAAGAAAAAAATCTTTAATATGAATAAAAGTGTTAGAATCGTGAAACATGATTGATAATTCAGAAGATAAGGAGGTGGCAGAAACAGCAGTTTTCAGCTGTAGATGTTCACTGTTAGAAGACAATGCTTAAATATCACGGCAGAAAGAAGCAGAATGACCTCAGAGTCCTGCCATTAATGAGGGTGATTTTCTGTCAGTTTGTCATTTAAGATTGGCAGACCTATTTTAAGTTTAAAAATCCAAGAAATGGGCTCAGTCATTCTTTATGTTGATTCCTGATTCTTCCAAGTCCTAGACCTTGACATTAAGATAAGAGCTTTAAAATTCCAGTCCCCATTTCCAGGTTTTTTTCCTGTGGGTGGTGAGGCTTGGTTCAGGAGCTCTGGGTGAAACTGGCAGTGCAGTTGTGTGGTGCCCTTAGGATGGGAGGGAAACTCTGTGTTAACTTGTGTCAGTACATTCCAGATGCTGCAGTTCCAGAAAATATCTTTTTGGGGTTTTTTATGGCTTGCCTCATGCTTTTCAATTTACACAACATTATCTGATATTTCATAAATGGCCCATCTGGAAGTTGAGATGGTTTTTCATACACGAGTGTTCTCATTTGTGCCATCAGCTATATGGCTGCTCAAATCAGCTGATAAAATTCAGGCTTTTCTGTTGTTTCATTTTGCAGAAAAATATGAATGTTGGAGAGATGTGAAAATTAGTCCACATAAAAAAATACCCCAAAAAACCAAAACCAAAACAAATCAAAAGTCAGACTTCTATTTAACTAATTCAAAATCTGAAACAAATACACCAAACAGAGATAACCCCCCAACAGGAGCTGCTGGGATTCCCTGGCTTGTGGGGAGCTGGGCTGAGAAGAAAGGCACTGAAAAGCCTGTGTGACAAAAGAGGTGTGATCTGCCCTTTTATGTCAGAAACAACTTTATACTTAATGGAATAGAAGTGGTTAAAATTTTCCACTGAGAAAAACTGAGAAAACTTTTTCTTTCAAATAATGTGGTTTTGTTTGATATGCAGGAAACTGTTACTATTGCTTAAAAAGAAACCCCTAAAGCATAGGTTTGGCACAAAAAATACTGAAACCTGGGCACTCTTTAGAGTCATTACTGTAGCATCAAAAATTCAAATCAAAACAAAGTTGGTGTTTTCAGTTGGATGCTTAAACTGTTGATTCACAACAGAAATGATGACTTAAATATCTTTGAATCTTCTTTTGGGGAAAAACAAAAAACTTGGGAGTTCTCCATCACTTATGTATATGAGAACCACATTGCTTCTGCAAACCATTCTGATTTTACTTGGTAAAAACTATCTCAAATGCATAGTGACAAGATTTGAGGTGTATGTAATTTGAAAACATGAACTTTAGTGACATGATGTAATCTGAGATGGATTTTGCAGAGACCTGTGTTGGGAATTTGGGTCTGTGTGCTGCAGGGGACCTGGGAAGCCTGGGGTGGAGGGGAGGAAGCATCCTGTGCAGGAATGTGGTCCAGCTGTGTTATACCCTCTGTCCAGCTTTAGAGGGTTCAAAAGGCTATATTTTTTTTTTATATTTTCATTTGCGTAGAGTGGGGGTTTTGTTTTCTTTTCACAAGTTTAGAAGGGGCTGGAATAGACTCTTTAATTTCCCAAAGTTTTATTTTAAAACAGTGCTAGTCCCTGGTGAGACCAGAGCAATGTACACAGTGTGGTGTTGAGTGAGGCAGCTGGCTCCCACCCTGGCTGCTGGAGATGTGTCAGGATTAATCCAGTATGTTCCCATTCAATTGCTGCAGTTTTGGGTTCTTCACAGCATATTAGACTGTGCTGGGCTGGAACTCATACAGCTGAAGCTGACAGTAACTGTCATGCCTATAAAGCTTCCAATTTTCCACGTGGTTTGCCTGTTTCTTCAGAGGAGGATGTCAGCTTCACATAGTCATGGTTTTCCTGGAGGAAATGGGCTAAGGCAGAGAAAATTGTCCTGTGCTTGTGCTGACATCTGCATCATAGTGGTGCAAAGGGACAGACAAAGTCCTGAAGTCATCAGCAGACTCCTAAGGGTTGTAAAGATGCAGGAAAGTTCACAGAGCAGGAAGAATCCATCTCATCTGGTTACTGGGGAACCTTAAAGAAAGAAACCAAACCCAGGGCTGTGTGGGATGATGAATTCTGTGTGATTCCATGCCCAGAGCAGGATTTCCTCTGTGGTCTCTTCATGTTTGCTCAGGGATTTAAGTGTAGGTAAAACATCAAGGTTACTCATTTGGGGGCTAGAAAGGGAAGAGACTTGTCTTCCTATTGTCACTTAAAGCTGTTACAGCAAATAAATGTGTGAGGATACACGAGCAGTGTCAGATCCAGGGTGCAGAAGGGATAAACACAAGCTTGCGTTCTCCTGGACTGATACTAAATCCCTGTGAGAGGCTTCAGGAAGGGCAGCGAGGACCAAGTGAAGTTACATGGCCTGGTTAAAGCCTGGAAGAATTGGTTATCTTCTGATTACAAACCCCTTCAAACTCCTGATAGACTCTGCTCTTTTTACATGGGGCAGATGTTCCACCAATATCTGTGTACATTTAAACTCCAGGTATGTTTCTAAATAAAAGTCTATTTCTAAATTTTTTTATTTTTCTAAATAAAAGTTCATCAGTCATGACCTCAGCCTGTTTCCAAGTGTGCTGTAGTCCAGGTAGCCACTGAGAAATCCATGACTGCTCACTTTCTGGTGTTCATTGCCCTGCCTTGGAATTCGGTCCTTCCTTTGCCAGGCATTTGTTTGCAGCTGCTTGAAGGAAGACTCCTTTCTATCCTTCCTTTCCCTCCCCCAGACAATGTCTTGTGCAGTGAGCACGGGCTGCAAGGCACAGGCAGACTTTTGTGGGGTTGTAAATCTATTTCTCCACTTACATCCTGTTTTCCTTTCTCTCCCTTTCTTCCAGGTTGATAAAGTGTGTGGCCAGCCCAAGCAGCAAGAAGGGAACCTGTCATCAGCCAATATTGTACCAGTGAAGGAAGTGACTGAAACCCAGACATTTGTGATGGCTCACACCAGCCTGAACAATAAAAGAAGGTAACCCTAGGCTGGCAGCTGCTTTGAAACAAACCTTCAGCCTCATAATCTGTGTTGTTGGTTCTTTGCACTGTTTAAGCCAAAGCCACAGCTCTGTCACCTTCTCTGTGTGCTCTCCAGCCATCACTGGCAGTCACACAGGTGACTCCGTGGCATCACATCCAAGAAAGGCCAGACTTGACATCATTGCTTCACACCAAGGTGTTCATTCATTCCACAATCTTTCAGTGAAAATGGGGAAAGCTTTTCCTTGACAAAGTGTGAGGAAACTGATTTCCACAGCTGAGTCTAAATTATTTAAAACGTAACTTTCCAGGTCTGTAAGGACATGAGCTTGTCCACGGGCAGAAGTGGGAAGGAGGATAGGGTGAAAAGGAAAGATTGATTGCCCTGACACCAAGTCAATCCCCGATTCCACTGGACTGGGCAGATTCCTTTGGAATCTCCTTGTTTTATTACATAACAGAGAAGGAGCTGAAAGAGTTTTTTAGGCTTGTTGTGTCCATCTTGGCTCCTCTTCAGCTATGCCCCACTGAGACACCTGCAGCTGAGTTCTGCCACTGGCCTGGACAGGAGTATCCCGGCTCGCACATCCCCTGACTTTTTCTGTCACTCTGCCTTGTGCAGCTCCTGAATTGGCTTTCTGTACATTCTAGGAAAGGATTTTTTTGCAATCCCACTCACGATACATGAGTACATGTCTGAGCAAACTGCCCACACAACCCCAGTGCCTGTTTCTGGCTGGCACAATGTGTTCTGTAAGAACAGAGTTAATCTGGACCAAGCCACGTCAATGGAGTCGTGCTGGGCTTACCTGTGTCCAAAAGCAGCATCTGAACTGCCCAGGCAGTCCATGGGTACCTCTGTCTGTTGGATGAGTGGATGACAGCAGTGTTAAAATTCCCACAGCCTGGGTTCTGGTGTTTCAGTTGTGAACATGAGATTTTTATCCATTTCTGTTTTAATTCTCAGCTTGCATGAATGGAAAAAAACACTGTTTTAAAAGTAATAACAGCAAGAGATGTTTTTTGAGTGATAGTGATAATTTTTTTATCCTTTTGTATTTTAAAGCAAACCATAACAGTTTGTGCTAGCACTTGGAGTTAATCAGTTTTTACCAAGCAAATCAGAAAAAAAAGGAGCATTACAGAAATTAAATTAATAACTTCAGCAGTAAAAATCTAAAGAGCAGTTGTAGTACATTTATTGAAATAGGCTTTCAGCAGCACAGAGCCCTGGACCATCTTCTGTGTAACTCATTGACTTGGCTGGGGTTTAACACTGGCAGATCAAAAATCAGAATTGCCAGCCCATCAACAGGTGATCTCTTAAAATGTTGCAGGTTTGTGTCTTCAATGGCATGAAAATTGCTCTTTCATACCTGAGGATCTGCTTCCTCCCCTTCCCAACCATCTAGAATTATTTGGATATTGACCTTTTAAAATGCAAGGCTTGTGGATGGAAAAGAAAATGAACTAATGCACTGTAAATTAGACAGTTTGCCAGAATTGGTCTGCACACTGAAAATTAATTATATAAACTAAACTAAGTCGCTGCTTATATAATTAGCATGAAAAATTACTGAATTACAGTGTTGATGGTTATTGTGGAGAGCCTGTGCACCAAAAATGAATGATGGAAATATGCCATAAATAGTAAGAAGTGGAAAATTTGAAGCTATTCTCCACAACTTCCTATAAAACATGTGGCCTGAAGCTTGTACTTCTGCTTCTTGGAAACAATTGTGAAACCACAGAGTGAAAGACACAGTGATTGGCTGCATCATTGTGTTGTTCATTCACCATCATTTAATCACATATGATATCAATAAAAATTAATGTAAGGTAATAAAAATCTATAATACAAGGGTGAAATAATTTCTGCAGTGGGTTGTGTAAAATGCGCTTAGAGTGACAGAAAATTGCTGCAGGGGGGCCAGATGATGAGAGTAATTACATGAATCTTTTGAGAAGCCCGTCCTTCTGGTGCTTTTAAGAAATGGAGAGCAATGTCAGCTGCTGTCAGTTCAGGTGCCAGGACACCCTGGGCCTGCTGGGTCTGTCTGGAGGTCTGGGTAATGGACATCCTTCCAAATGATCCTTTAATTCAAGGGCTGTATGGAACATGACTCCAGCCTTTTAGGGTAAGGAAGGAAAAAGAGAAGGAATGAGCCAACGCTCTCTAAGTAAACAGAAAAGCTGTGGCTTGTTCCCTTATGTGTCAGAGCATTCCTGAGCTCAAAGGGAAGAACCTCTGTGGTTGGCACATCTGGAGGAGAAACCACAATCAAGTGGCCTCTGCTCTCATGTGTACAGCCTGCTCAGAGATGCCCTTAACACCCCAGTGCCAGATGGATGTTGGCTCCAGAGGTGCTGAGTCTCTGCTAGGCCACGTGAAAAATCGGGCTCCTTTCCGAGGAGCTGGAGAACCTCTGGTTTCAGCTGTGGAGCAGAGCCAGGGCTGCTGGTGCAGGATGAGGGGGGTTGTTAAATGGTGTCCCTTGGCCCCAGCTGGTTCTTCAGGGGGAGGTGTTTGGGCTCTGGCTGGAGCCAGCCCTCCTCACCCTTCACTCTTCTGCACAGGCAGATCTGCAAGGTCCCCAAATGCACAGAGCAACTGGAACCTCCCTTGCAGTAGCTGAACCCTTTTCTTCTCTTACTCTCATGAGTTCCTGGGAGATTTCCCATCTCTCTTCATTTTACTCTGCATTCCATTCCTGCATATTTTTTGTTATGCATCACTTAAGTGTCAGGGACAATAATTAAAGAAGCTGAAACTTGAATAAATGTTGCATGATCTTGCAAGAAATCATTTCCTATGATTAAACTGGAAAGCATAGAATTGATTATTCTTATTTTTTTTACCATCACACTGTCATAGTTAGGGATTAACTGAAACTGGCAGCGTTGCTGCTGCAGTCATTTTTTCATGTGGAGGTTACTATAACATGTAACAGAGATGACAAGAAAATTGAAACCATACGATGGTGCAGGGAATGCAAATGGCATGTACAGAATCTCAGTAAATTGGAATGTTATTGCTGAGTTCAGCACAAAGAACTGTTCTGCTCAGGGTCTGGTGTCCCAGCAAAGTTGAGTACCTGCCTTTTAGCATCTCTGCTCCATGGACCATTTCAAACCACTAAACACAGACTGGTTACAGAGCTGTAAATAAAATACGTTTAACAAAGAACTGTAACATATTAGGTCCCTGACTGGAGCAGGAAGACTTTGAAATTATATTTTGTTGGGATTTGTTTATTATGCCATGAATTTACAGATCTTTTATTCATTTTAAAATCAACAATTTTGGAATTCCTTTGGGAATGTTTGAAGTCAATGATACCTATTCCATTTAAAACAAACTATCTATTGGGTCAGACATCACATGATTTTATTAACATTTGAGTAATAAAGTGCTAGTATAAACCAGATTATTAATGTCAGATGCACATGAACCACTGGCCAGGGCTGAAGTTTCAGCTGATCCAGATTTTCCCTGTTAGAAATTTCCATTTGGTTTTTTGAGTGGCTGTGTTGGAATTCCTGCAGGCAGGTGCCCCTCCCCTGATGGGCAGTGCAGGTCCCTCCTGCCATCAGCTGCTGAAGGTGGTGCTTGCTCTCTCCACTGAGAGCACTAAATAATCAACAGGGTTATTTCCACAGTTCTTCCTCCACTATAGTCTGAAAATCTGTATCTCCAGTTTTGCAAAATTGGGTGTTTTTTTCAGTGGTACAATCCCAGAACAGCAAAAAAAAAAAAAAAAAAAAAAAAAAAAAAAAAAAAAAAAAAAAAAAAAAAAAATACCTGTACTTATATTATTTATTAACAGGCAGTAAATTGCTCATTGTACCAGGACATGAATGCTACTGGTTTGTATTCCCCTCCCCGTGGTTCTCATTCTAAACTGTTTGCCATTGTTTTCTTGTACAGCTTTGTGTATTTACAGTTCTTCCATTTGGTATCAGTTACACTTAATTTAAGTACCACTGAATTTATTTTCAGCTTTCTGCTGTGTGCGCTGCATTTGCAATTCTGCTCTTACTTGAAAATGATTGGGACAAACGGTCTCAGTTGTACTTTTTTTCCAGTATTGAATTGACATTTTTTGATTGCATGTATACTTTGCAAAAATCTCATGATAATTTTCCTCCTTATTTATTTTCTTGTATTGTCTTATGCATGTGCTTGATGACCTTTCTTTCAAATAATTTTTACTTTTCTCTTTTGTTTCTCATTTCTTTTCCTCATTTGCCTGAATTCCTGCTTCTTCCCTACTCCCCAACCTCTCCTGATTGATGCTCGTTCTCCCCGGCCTATTGCAGTTCTCTGCCTCTGAAAGCTTCAAAGAATGACAAATCAAGAAGTTTGAAAAAAATCTCTCGGTAAGAATGAAAACAAGGTGACATCCTTTGCTGTCTCTACACGTAGCTCATTGCCAGCTGTAATCTAGGAGCTGGAAAACTTTTGATTGCTGTTTTTACATTGTAGGGCACTGGGAAACTCTACATTTTCTCCCCTGGTGTGTTTAGTTTTATAGCGATGAAAAGCAAATATTTTCACTCAGTAAGACTGAAAGGCAGACACAGAATTCTGCATTTTCTGAGATACTGCTTTGGAATGTCAGAGCCCCACTCTGCTGAGAATGCAAAGGAGTGTAAACCTCTGGGGTGAGCTGAGGAAGGCAAGCTTTAGGCTCTTAGAAGGGTGCTGGTCTCCTCCTTCAAAGAAGACTCTGACTTAGAACCTGTGAAATCTCTGGCATCTGTGTTTCCTTTTGGATCCTCTTAGGCTGTTCTGCCAGGCAGCCTCTGGCTGGGCCTGGCTTTACTCTAGAAATACTCAGAGCTCGTATTTGTGAGGTGGTACTCAAGAGGTAGAAATGCTGATTACCTCTTTGTAAGCCCCCAAATTCCTGCTTTAGTCTTTGCTTTAATTCCTAGCTTTCCTGCTCTGTTAGGCTAAGTTAGTTTCTTAGGAGCCTGTGATGACTGATGTATCTAGAGCAGGATTTCATCACAGAAGGTAAAAGGGATAGTTAAACACTTACCAGAAATGATAAATAAAGCATAAAGAGAGGTGTTGGGAGAGATGACCACTGCCTCACTCTCACAGGGATAAGGTATTTCCCAGTGGAACTGGATGTTGTTTGAAGCACCTGTTGCTGCTAAGGAGAGAGAAATCCTGCCTGGTTTGTGCCCAGCTCCATCCAGCTGTACCCCAGGCACCTCCAGTGCCTGCCAGGCTGGAGCACTGCACACCACAAGGAATTCCCGTGGAGTTCTGAGCCAAGCACAGAGCTGAGTGACAGCTCTGGCTCAGTCTGTGTCCTGAATCCTGTTCTGCACATCTCTAACACACCAAACAGGAGCTTCTGAGGCACTGCAGTGGGTGATTTCTCATCCTGAAATCCTCTCAGTTGTGTGCTGAATTAACACTGGTTTTGTTAGTTTGTTTTGGTGGCTACCTCAGCTGGGTATATATTATAGGTATAATCAGATCAGAAAAGAAGCAACAGTTTGCCCTCAAGGCATTTTTCCATACACAGTCATCAGGAATACCCTGTCTGTACTGGCCATGCCTTTTATGATGATGTTTTTTAATCTGTTTATAAAGAGTAGGTGTAGCCTTTTTTCAGATGTAGTGAGAGACATGTTAACACAGCGTGTAAAAAGCACCCTTTATGTATGTAATTATGTGTATTGACACTGGACTGGGTAAAATTGGATGATCTATAAGGAGTAAAAAATACACTAGAGATAGAAATTAATTCAGATGACTTATTTTCTAAAGTCTTGATGTGGTGGAGGGTGAGGCTGGCAGGGGGTTTAACTGCTGAGTTTACTGTTGTGGTGTTAAATGTGTTCTTCCTGCATTTCAGAGAGTTCATCAATTACATGAAGCGATCCCGAACCTTTTATGCCTCTGTAGCAGAAAGGCTTTGTGATGGAGACCTGGTGATGAGAGACAGCTCAACCTGCTGGAATGGAGAGGATGTTGTAGAAAGGTAAAGTTAGAAGTAAAAATTTGCTGTAATGGTGAAGAGAGGTGTCTTCACATCCTTCTGGTGGTTCAGCAGCATTCTGAGATGCTGTTGTAGATGCTGTGTTGGGTGAAAAGACCTTTCTGATTTGTCAGCTGATTTTTCTCCCTTCTGTATTTTATCAGCTTTTTTCCCATCACCCTTTAGACTCTAAACTGAAATACACACTTGCATTTCCACGAGCTAAACTTGTTGCTGTCATTTCTTTTACTCTGTATAGCACGAGGCTACATCACCCTGAGGAGAAAAGAGATGTTTAGAGCACAGCTGTATCTTTACTATCACTGTCAAAGTATACATCACTTTTTGCAGTGAGAGCTGGCTGGAAGTGTGCCAGTGAATGTTCTCCAAAAATTTCCCTTTTTTCTTCTCTTTTTTCTTTTCTGGAACAGAGAAGTTCCATGGGATTGTGATGCCTTTCACGATGTTTCTTTCTGAAGTGGATTTTGTGGTCTGTAGCAGTGATTAAAGATAAAGTTCCAGCATTCTGTTTTCTTGCTTTAAAACAATTTTCATGGTCAACAAAAAAGCTGTTTTGTAGGAACTTACTGAATAATTTCAAGATGGAGCAAAGATGTGACCAAATATATGATATGATATATGATATGAGCAAAGACAGAGACTTACTGTCTGTCTCATTAATGGGGGTTCTGACTCCCACATAACTCTGTTTTCTGTTATGTGTAAACTTCAGCTTAATTACATCCCAGCTATTTGGAGATAAATGCATGTCTAACATATCCAAGGATAACTTTAATATTTCAATATATATTGTCATTAGAAATTAATTGTAGGGCATATGTTTGAAGATTTTGGCAACAAAGCAATATTCCAAATATTGATGTATAGTGGTTGCAATACCGACTGAAGTTTTTACTGTAAATGTAATGGAGAGGAAACAGGAAGAATATCGGTGTTTATAATCAGTATTAATCCATATTTCCATATCGGAATCTCTTTTGCTTGTGCCACGTTGCTGGATGCACACTTAACTTTTAGAACAAACAGCTTTCTGGCCAAAAGAAAACCAAGAAAAGCCAAACAAACAAAACCAAACATTTTCTGTATTAGTTTCCTAGGGGGGGATGTTACTTTTAATTTTTATCTTGCTTTGTTTAAAATAAACCCAAACCACTCAAATTGCTGATAAATGTGTTTTAGAAAGGAATGAAGGGGAAAGCTCTTGTTCCTTTGTCAGTCTGTAACTTTCCCAGAGCTGGAGATATATGAAAAAGTTTCAAGTTTGAAAGGGATGAGAAGCTGGGAAAAGTAGCAGGGAAAAGGCTAACAAGATACCTTCACAGGTTGAATTACAAAGGGAAAATAAAGGAAAAAGGAAACCTAAACAACCTACCCCCAAAGATGACAGCAGCATAAAACCCAGACCCGCCACCAAACCTAGATACATGTCTGTAGTTAACATATTAAATTGACAAAATAGTAAACAAAAGAGTTAAATTCATGGGATTAATCAGACAGCTACACAGAGATAGCTAAGTAATGTAAAACACAGTAATATATAAATACTGTACATTTATATATTCTCTCCTAGTATTGATTGCCCTAAGAGGAGGGGACTTTGTGGGCAGCCTTGGTGCCACCCAGCAGCACACAGATCTGCTGGCTGGCACATTCTGCTCCTTTCATCACCTGTTTTATGGGCTGGGCTTGTCCCCACGTGGGGCATAAACCTGTCCTGATGCTGCCTGGAGATGAATTCCTCTGTGCTCTTTCTCCTCTCTCAGGGCATTAAATAGCAGCAGTAGTAAACAGCCCTGAACTCAAAATAGAGCCTTTTTATGAACTGTGGATCAGCAAATAGATCACCCCAATGGGTCTGGCTGGACTCGAGTTTAGGGTTACTGGGGCTGTGGGGCTGGCACAGCTGCAGTTGCTGTTTCCTTCACACTCCTTGCATTTCACAATGCTGCTGGAAAGCTGAGCATTATTTATGCTCTGTGCTAACCAGCACGCCAGCTCTTTAGGAAAAACAAATCCGAGCTTTAAAAACAATTTGACACACAAATGCAGCCTGAAACAATATGAAATTACTACTCAGAAATGAGGATCGTGCATGCAGTTGGTGGAAAGGGCACTTGAGGTCTGATAAACAGAATTAGAGATGTACCCTTTTATTTTAGTTTAGTTCTTCTGATCAGGTTTTGTTGTGTTTAAATCATTGCGCTTGCAGGAAAAAGAAGTTTGAGCTGCCAGTTAAATACACCATAAAAAGAGATTCCCACTGCTTTGAGGGATGCTATGCCTCTGGCCTGCTCTTCAGAGAACAGGAAGAGATGGCTTTGCTAGGAATGTTCCAGTGTCAGTTCAGGACAGAATTAGAAATACTTGCACCAGGAGTACTTTCTTTCTTTTAATTGCTCTTTTTAGCATCTTATTCCTGAAGCAAAAATCATCCATGCACTAATGAATGGTCTCATCTTCATACTCTTTGAGCTCTAGCCATTTCTAATTTGGATCCTGCACAGAATTCTTGGATCAGAAGATCAAACTTTGATTTATTTGGAGTGAAGAAAGAAAAATCATTCTGAAAATCACTCTAGGCAGTTTTGTGTTTGTTGCTTCTCCATTTCAAGAGGAGATTTTCTGAATTTCCAAATGAAATGATCTTTCTGTTAATGCCAGTTAGCCTGATCTGAAATATCACTGGTGATGGCAGAAGCAGAAAGGTTCTGCTGGTCAGACACTGCTTTCCACTGCACAGGTGTCTCCTGAGTGTGCATGGGTGGATTTCAGCTGGAATGGGTTACTCTGAGTGTGGCAGACTTCAAAGTTGGTGTTAAATAACCATTTGAGACACTCCAAAGTTCCCATTCTCCTTTCTCCATATCTGCTGTGATTTGTAGTGCTGTGAGGAGTTCAAAGGTATAAATTCACACTCCTATCACTGCAGTGTGCAGGTTTGATGTGTAGTACCCTGATTTGGTGGGGGACAGGGGAGAAGATATTTTACAGCAGCTGTTTTTCCACTTGAAGTCCCTTTCTCAGGAAACTTCAGCTCTATGGTTAAAAACTTGGACATGTAAATGGTTTTTAGACCAGGTTACCTGGAGCAGAAAAGAAGGATGTTTTGTAACAGCCAGTGGGGACCCACACTTCTTTTCCTTCCTTCTCTCCTTCATTCCCTGGATTTTTTTTGGGATTTTGCACTGTGTGGGGGGATTAGGGGACACCTGTCCACGAGCTTGAACAGATCATGTCAAGGCTTGTTAGGCTCTCAGGACCTGGGAGAGCTGGCTGAGGAAGGAAGTGGCAAATCACAGAGACTGTTTCTCAAAATGTGTTCCTTTAGAGACTTCCAGTTTTTATGAGTTTAGCACTTTCATTGTCCCCTTTCTCATTTCCTTAGGCTCTAGCAAGCAGCCATCTGGATATGGAAAACAGAGAGAGTCATTTAGCCTTGGCATACTTACAGCATGTTTAACTTCTGTTGTTCTCGTGCCATCAGTGTAAACAATTTCTAGAGATACACTTGTGACTGTAAACTGCAAAATGCCATCTCTCTTTTTGCAGTATTTTTCAGGTTTTAGGGTATTTTCCAGGACTTGGGATGTTTTGTTGGGTTTTGTTCCTTTCTTCCTCACCACGAATTTCAAAAAGGTCAAGGCATGGCTGTGCTATGACCCATGATGGAAAAAAGGTGGGAAGAGAAGTGCCAGAAGTCAGTGATGTTTGTACATGGTATCTAACCCAGAGATACTTGTGTCAGACCATTTGGCTGGATTTCATCTTTGTCATTTAGACTGTTAACTCTGTGTGCTTAAGAGCTTTATTTTTGTTGGTGGTGATGTTGGGTTTCTTTGTTCGCTTCATTTTAAAAAATGCAGTTATCAAGGAAATAAAATTTTAAAGATTTCAGTCTTGGAAGCTATCAACAGATTGATCTCAGTGTAGGCATTTAACTAAATGTAATTATGACAAAATTTAACCCCAGGAAGGAGCAATGTGTTGAATTACCCAGCCCCAGCTCCAGATGAGAAGCAAATGAGAGTCAGGAGGCAACTTTTGTGTGAAGGTCCAGAGAGAGCCAGGAGCAAGCTGTGGGATTCTTCACAAAAAGAGCACAAGAAGCCTGACTGAGGGCATGAGGAGCTCACTGCTGGTGGAGTTTGATAGAATGATTTGTGTGTTTGGATGACAGATCCTGGTGGGCAGCCAGAGATCTGCTTTGGGGAACTCTGCTGGCAACTTCAGCAAACCTCAGCCTCAGTGAGGAGCACAGAATTCACTTCTGGTGTTTTGGTGCTTTTCTCTAAAGATGGAGTTTATTCCACTTTTTGTTATCAAATTGCATTTTGGGTCGTGTTGTGTGCATGGTGTGGTTACAGATCACTCTGACTCAGTGAGTGCAGCTCTCTGGAGTGACCCCATGCCCACTGCTGGCTGGGAAGGAGCTGATTGTTGGGAGCAGTCCTCCTGCTGGGAAATCACACTCATCTGCCTTGCAGTGATGGACTTGGCTCTTTTTAGTTAATATTGCTACTGTGGTCTGTCCAGGCAGTTGAAATGGATGGTTTAGGTCAGTAGCTGAAAAACATTTCTGTGAATGTAAATGGACATTTGACTGGCAAAGGCATTTTTTTAACACTGCAGCACTCAACATTTTCTATCAGGTTGAGGGACTTGAACACAAATAATACTTGATTTCAGAGTTTCTTGGGGAAAACCTCTGGATTTGGTACCTACTCAGTGTCTACTCCTTTGAGCAGAATTAATGGAAGGATAAATGTTGTCACCAGTCACCAGCTTGCTCCAGTGGGACAGGATTTTTCAGATGTAATGTAACAGGGACTAGTTTGATACTAACATAGTATCTCTCTTATTTTGGCAAGTTTGGGATATTTTTAATTGAATAAGGAGTGATGGGCAGGTACACTTTCTTTTGAATGCAATTTTTTTATTATTCAGTAGGAAAGAGCAGCCCTTATTTAGTCATGAAACTGAAA